GTGCATGGACCATATCTTACAGTTTAAGGGAGAGCAGTTAATGGTTTTGTCCATGCTGCTTGGGATTTCTTCTTCTTCTTCTTCTTCTTTTTTTTTTTTTTATTATTCTCCAGCTTCTATTCTTCAGGTGTGTAGCTATTTTAGTATTATGAAGGATGATGGATGATGCCGGAAAGTTTCTTTGGAAGCACTTCTGATATTGTGCAATGCACTTGGGGGTCTGATGCATGATTTATCCCATGTCCCTGCCACTTCCTGAGATAAAGCTGCTGCTTGATCAAAAATGCCAGCAACTGTGATTTAGAATTTATAAACCTCCGTTTTCGAATAATTGTTCTGATTACTTTCTGCCTTGGCAATAAAATGATAAAGGTAATTGCACACAAATGTGAGATAACACCAAAATACAATAAAATTAACGTGAATTAGCTTGACATGTCGATGAGAAGTATTTATGAAATGTAGTGTTGCAATAAGGAGGGTAATATTATAGCTGGAAGGTGAGTTATTGCCTTAATGTAATACTCCTTGAAATTTAAAAAAGAGACTCTTTCTGTTGAGGGTGATTGTGCCTTTGAAATTAAGTTGAACTGATTCTTATAATTGGCAACAATAATGCATTTTGAAGGTAATATCTTTTATTGTGTTATGCCCAGTTGCATTCCCTTTTATTTAGCAGTTTCTGGCTCCAGCTTTTCTAAAAGTCAGGTCGAGGCTGACTTGAATTCTGTTGGATCCGGGGGCTTGAATGTTTTATTCTGTTTTTGATATTTCCTCTGGTGTGAATGTTAACAGATTTTTAAAGAATATTTTATTGAACCACTTAGATATCAAAGATTAAATATCAGTTATGTTTCTAAGGAAGTTTAAGGAACGTTCTCATAAATGTGTTTTGTCTTCCTGTCCTTGCATGTGTACTAGAGATTTCCTATCACGGAAATCTTCCTTAATGGTCTCCATCAGGGTTGAACCCAGGGTCCCCCCCTTCCAGGACACGTAGTTTATAACCTTCACAATCCTGAAAATGAAATTCATAGATAATGTCTACCTACATGTCCTAGTGTTAAAAAGAAATCTTAAAAGGTAGATGCAAAGAAAGGAGCAGTAATTTGTGATGCAGTTGTGTGTATTCAGAACAGACATACCTGGGCGGGACTCTGCTAGAACCCACGGTGAAGCGAGCACGTGGGCCCGGAGCGCAGCTGCTAGGAGCAGGGCCCAGACCGGTTTGCTTAGGGATGACTCCTGGGTTGATCAGCGTGGACATCAGTGCCACAGCTTTTCCACGGTGGTGGACAACTTTCTATAAAGTTCCAAAGAAGATGGAACCCATCTTTCCGCTGAGCTGTAGGACCCTTGCCATCTTACAAAGCCGTGTGTGCGCGGACACCGCACAACGGTTCTCCCTGCGGATGGGGTAAATGTGGTTGTGCTTCAGGTGTGGGTTTCTTTTACCCTTGAGTGTGTTGCAGGACATTTGAACGTGTCACAGGATGCAGGATGACTCTGGTCCCACATCGTCCAGAACGTTCTGCTCTTTGCATATTCAGCTCAAGCAGTCACTGTGACAAATGAAACTGCCTTCAGATTGCCAGCACCCCTGTTGAGGACAGGTGAGGACTCCCAGTTCTGGAGCATCAGACCCCAGCCAGGTTGCAATTAGGTGGGGACCCCCAGGTGCCTCCAGATGAGGGGCCTGTGCCACGGTGCGCCTCCAGGGCACCCAGAGGTGAGGTTTCTTGGTGGGTGAGACTCCCTGCAGGCATGTGCTTCCATTAGCTGCCCACTGCCACCATGCAGCCTCTTTGTACCCAGGTTTGTGTCCCTGGATGTGATTGTGTTTTTTTGTTTGTTTATTTTCTGACTTGGTGATAAAGTTTCTAGTACTGGCGATGTGTGTGACATCTAGAGAACAGCATGGAAGATCTGGAAACTGAGGCAGACTTCAGGATGTGTCTAGAACCGAGCAGTGTGTGCCTCCTGCTGTTGCTTTTGGGAAGAAGACACCGGTCTCCTGTTTTTCCAGAGAATCAAGTATTGTGAGCAGATATGCCTAGGGAATGTGTAGTAGAATTTTCCTTCCATTTACACAAAGATGAAAATAATGTAGTAAGAAAGGGCTTTGTGATTAGCCCTGTGTGCTTTTATATGTTAAAATGGAGGCCGACTAAAATATTAAATATCAAGTAGTGTGTTTTAATATCATATACAATAAAAATGGAGTACTCTTTTTTTTTTAAAAAAAAAAGCATTTTGACTTAAGGCTGAATTTTAGGGGCTATAAAATTATGGAATTCAGTCCTTAGGTGGCTCTTGGCCATAATGTGGGTGCATTCAAGCTAGCCTGTTCTTTGGAAATGGTCGAGTTGCTTCTTGGCTGTCTGGTAAGTCCTGTACCCCAGGTCTTTGAGGGCTGCTGTTTGAGTTTTGCTGCTTCTTGCTCATGGTGTCTGATTTCCATGTGTTTCTGATGAGTAGTGCCCTGGGTGATCCCAGTCATGATCTGTATGAATCACTGTGTGCAGCCCAGCTGGTTCCCTGTCCCGCCCGCGGTGTTCTTAGCCTGTTTCCCGCCCCCGCCCCGCGCCCACACACACACAGCAGGGACTGTCCCAATGCCTCTCCACTGGCTCTCCAGCCCCACCTAGGGCAGGGACTCCTCTTCTGGGCAGGGTCAGTGAAATGGCCGATGCAGGTGTATCTCTGCATGGGCTTGTGGCCCCTCCTGTGCTGCTCAGCACTGACTCCTTGCCTCTACCAGAGGCACCCATGTCCCCGGGCCTCATGCCACTCTGAGGCCCCAGCCAGTCCTGAGCGCCTCCTCCAGTTCATCTGCTTGCAGTCTGTCCAGGAGCCAACTGCTTACTGTTGGTGGGCCTCATGCCCCGTGGTTTTCTCTGTGTCTTGGACACTTCCATTCTACTTCCAAATGCCTTCTCAGTCAGCCCTCCTTCAACACTCCTCCTCCCGTAGAGATTTTCTTGGTCTTTGAATTTGGGTGTCTTATTTTTCAGGGCATCTTCTCTGAGCATATTTCTCTGGGTCTTTTTTTGGGTGACATGTACAGTTAAGGGAGCAGATCCTGAAGCCAGACTGAATCAGGTCCTCAGCCTCAGTTTTCCTGTCTCCAAAATGAGGTTTTAATACTGCAGTGCCTGTGGGGTTACAACAGAGAACCAGGCAAGATGGGGCTGTGAGGACCGGGGGGCCGAGGACGTCGGCACGATCACCTTGCTGCCAGCCCTCCCAGGGTTGGCTTTGCTGTGCTCTGGTTTCTGTGCTGACTCAAGTGCTGGGGTGCACCCTCCCCAAAGAGGGGCCCCGAGCTTATTCTGTCCACTGTTCCATTAGGGTTTGGTGACAGTCCCCCTCTCTGACAGCGATAGATGGAGGATGACAAGGGGAGGGAGGACAGGGGTAGAGATGTGGCAGGTCCTTCCTGAACGAAGCCCAGAGTGTGAGTTCGCACGTGGAGGAAAGCTGCCTGGTCAGAGCTGTCCGGTCCTCGGGGACACGCCAAGGAAGGCCTGGCTTGAACATGACTGTCCTGGGGGAGATGGGTTGAGTTTTGATCTGAAGAGGCTCCTGCTGTCCTGGTGACAGGAGAGCCCCAGCAGGGAGCCTTTCCCGTGATGGTGGAGTCCTGCATCCGGGCCGGTGTGGGCGGGCAGGGGAGCCGAGATGGGTATTTACGACCCGAGCTGTTGGAGGCTCACTGGCAGGGACCCCGGTGAGTGGGCCAAAATGACAAATGCTTTCGGTGCACCTTTTATTGTGCAGCCTCACACTATTTCTTTCAGCTGTGCTGTGTTTGCTAGCGTTTTGATTGTATTAGTTATGTGTAAGACGAAGAAACCTTTCAGTCCCACAAGGTAAATATGGATCTGCTTTCAATACATTTTATCTGTTAAGTTTCAGCAGCCAGGAAGCAGCCTCTTTACTCCACCACAGCTTTTAGGGTTTGGATCGGAGATACGACATTTGCTTAAGCACTAGGCTCCGGGTGCTAGATGTCCTTGGCAGGGTGGGGACACCTGTTCTCTGAGGTTTGGACTTGGTGGGGGGTCCCTTGTTCCCTCCTCTCCCAGGAGAGGCCCCCTGGGTTTCCGGAGCCCGTGGTGCAGCCCCTGTCTCAGTCTGTGTCCTTCTCCAGCCCATTGGCCACAGCGGATTTCTCAGGGGCTGATCGCCAGCAGGAGTGAGGGGAGACTGTAGTGTGGGAACCCTCTTCCAGGTGATTCTGAGCACCACGCCCCATCAGCCCAGCCTCCCCTGGCCACCCGAGTTGAGGGAGCACTGCCTCCATGGAGACGAGTACTCTCCTCCGTGTCGAGGTGTGGGATGTTCCCAAGTGTCTGCAGGGGATGCTTGTGCCGAGATGGCCTGTGCCAGGGGAAGGGGGGAGGGCACCGTGGGGTCTGGAGTCAGGGCAGGGGAGTGGGCATCAGGTGGGCCTCAGGTGAGCCTCAGGTGAAGGCAGTTTAGCAGGAGGAGGTGCAGGTTACATGGGAGGAGGTCGAGCGGGTCTCAGTGAGGGGGGTGCCGGCCTCTCCCGCCTTGGAGATTTCATTCATTTGGAAAAATAATCTTGGGCCACATTGGTGACCTCACTGAAGAAAAAAAAAAAAAGCAGCAAAGGTAATATTTTTTGTCCTGAAGAAGGTTTTTTAGGATATTGCTAATGACTTATTTCAAAGAACTAATCAACAAAGTGAAATTTAATGAAATCAGATAAATTTGGCCGGTTGTGTCAAGAAAGTAGCCCTGGCGGGTTTGATTTGTGGAAGCCGTCTGCGTAATTTCCACATGAAGCCAAGAGTCCTCGTCCGCCACTGGGCTTTACAAGGGTTCTGTTTGCTTTTTCCTTTTGGGTTGAAATTTTTGCCTTTCCTATATGAGATGTTTATTATTGCTATCCAAAAGTGTCTGGAATATATATTGCTTTAAGCTGTGGGATAAAGTTTACTCTCACGATGGTTTAATTTTTATTGCGTTCCCAGAGTGTGCAAGCTATTGTTCGGATGACACACATGGCGGCTCCTGCCCCGCGAGACCACATTCAAAATTGCATCTCCCGTCCGTACCGCGTGCTCGGAAACTGTGCATACCTGCGATTCCCTCACTCATCTCTGTTGGCTCTTTCTCTTTCTGTTTGCCTGGTATGTTAATATTTCTTTGTACTCTCATGTCACTTCTGTAGAAAAAGTTGTGCTTTACCATGTAGAAAACATTTTACGGTAATAGTGGTTAATTATTTTAGTTCCAAGTTGTTGAAAATGGATAGAACGACCAAATCTTCAGCTAAAATCCTACTGTAGGATGATTTAGAGATGCTGCAATTGCTGTGTTATGTTTCCCAGTTTATCCAGAGGTGACTTTAGACAAGTAATTCTACTCTGCCAGACAATTTATTTCTCTATTATCTATTTAGCTTTTCCTTGGTTATATATGGCTCTAGGATATAAAGTCTGCTTGTTTCATTGAAATCTATCTAGGTAATATTTAAGTTTTTTTTTAAAAAAAATCTTGACTCTTAAATATTAAAAAGCTTCTGCTGTCTACCAGCTTTTGATAAAAGTGTGGCACTGAATTATTCCAGAGCCACAGTTAAGAGGAAGAAGAGCAGAGGGTCTGGGTGCACCCCCAGACTGGACACCGCATAGGCGATGGGCATAACCATCAGGCTTCGTGTTGGAAGGGCAGTCAGAGGCCCGGAGGCCCCGTCGGTACACACTGGAAGCAGGAGAGCGGCAGTCTCAGCTCTGCCCGTGTGCACGTCTCCAGCAGCTCCCCTCAGCATGCTGCACTTCTGCCCACGAGCTCCCTTCTCCGTCTTCTTGGAGACCACAGGGGACCGGAAGGACGCCCGCAGTTACTGAGTGGGGGTCAGCTAAGACAAGGAGACGTTATGTGCCACAGAAACGATTCCTTGGAGAATATTTATTGGATATTTTGTAGAACCTAAAATATGATACAGTTGTCAAGAATACGTGGTTTTGTGGGAAGCCATGTATCTTGGGGTAAACACCAGAATTGCATGGTAAGAGTGGGTGAAATGCTGGCGTATGTTGTCCAGCGTCCGTGTCGTGCCCCCTGGGGCCCCTCTCAGCAGCGTCAGGGGCACGAGCTGGCTGGAGAACTGGGGGTCACCTCCCCAGGACCTCTGGCTCCAGAGCCCTCTGCAGGCCCTGCTTACGGAGGTGGCTGTGGGACTGTGGGACGGGGTTCAGTGAGCCCTGGCAGGGTGAGCACACTGCAGATGCGGGCTGGTGGCGGCAGCACGGGGGGCGGCCTGCAGAGGCCCTTAGAGACTCAACTTGGCCGGTGAAGAGTGTGGTGGGAACCATGTCTCTTGGGGAAGACTCTGGAACTAAGGTGGGAGAGTGGGGGAGATGTGGGTCGTATTGCAGCTGCGTCCGACAGCTCGAGCGCTGTCGCAGATCACAGGCTTGCTCGGTATTTCAGGTAGTTTCATGATCTTACTGATCTGATCGGAGAGGTGCCAAGGAAGAATTTTAGGATGTTTACAGAAGCGTACATACCTGCAAAAATGGAAAATACACACGGACTAGAGGAGAGAATCAGGCAGAGGAAACAGTGCAGGGGTGTATGCAAGGCTGGTGTTCCCAATATGGGGCGCACGTGTTCTGTAAGATGGCTCAGAATTAAGTAGGGACTTCATAGTGTCCAAAGCAATGATGGGGGCGAATGAATTGCTGTAAGTGTCATAAAGGTTAGATGTGAGTATCTTGTTTAACAAAACCACACTCACCTGGCTGTCAGGTTTTTAGCGTGAGATGGAGACCTTCTTAGGGACATTTGGGGATTGGCGGGAGCTTAGTGTATGCAGAGGGCCGCAGACCTCTAGACGGTAATGGGAGGCTCGGCACCCCGACTCCGCTTTGTGCAGTTCGGGAGCCCGGGGAGCCGCTGCATCCTGCCCCCACCCCAGCCCTGCTGCATCTGCATTCCCTGAGACCTGAGATCACCTGCCCCGGAGTGGACGGCACCTGGGGTGAGCTTTCCTCCCAAGCCTGTCTCGTCTTCTTGGGTCTGGGTCGGCTGCTATCTTCCCAGGTCAAGGGTTTAAAGCAGGGCTGGGTCCTGGGTGTGTGGCTGGCAAGAAAGGGCAGCAAATTCAATTTACCGAGTATCTGCTCTGCAGATACAGTAGCCTGGGACTCGGGGGAGGCAGAGAGAAACAAGCGTGGATTCTGCTCTCACAGACCACAGAGGAGGGACAGCTAGGTGCTGGCACGGTCCCCAGAGTTCACTCACTCGAGCTGCCATTTGCTCAGGCCTCACATGTCACGTGTTTACGGGCTGCATGGACTATTGCTTACTTAATGCTTCTTTATATTAACCCAGTTCTGATATAAACACCTGCTTTAGCCTGGGCTTTAGGAATTCCAGTGAAGACAAGTGTTTGATATATTCATTTTATTTTTTTCTGTAACATGGTAATTTAATCCATAATTAATGGAGTATCTAAACTAATCTCCCCCTAGTGCACGTTCAACACTCCGGAGTCAGCCACCTCATCCCTGTTACCCACCACGGGGCTCTGGAAAAGGCACTTTCGTGTTTGAGCTTCAGGTTTTTTGTCATCAGAGAAATGGATGCGCCTAATTTGCAGGGCTCTTGTAAGGATTAGAGAGCTATACAGATGCCTGGCACACAGGAAGTGCAGGCAAGGCCAGGAAACAACTGGTCCTATTATTAGATTGAGTTGTGGGCTAGTGATGCAAAAAACAATGATTGAATTATAGTCTGTACTGTGCGGTGTCCTGAATGCAAGGAGTGCATTTGATAACTTCTAGAGCCAGTGTTAGTGAGCATGTGGAGAAATTGGAACCCTCGTGCGCTGCTGGTGGGAATGTAAAATGGGGCAGTTGCTGTGGAAAGCCCTGAGTCTGTTCCTCAAAATGTTAAACACAGAATAGCTCTGTGATCCAGCAGTTCCACTTCTGAGTTTATACCCAAAAGAACAGAAAGTAGGGTCTTGAACAGGTATTTGGACACCCGAGTTCATAGCACTGTTCACCATCGTCGAATGTTGGAAACAACCCAGATGTCCATCGAGGAGCAAATGTGTAAACCACAAAGCATGGTCCATCTGCACAATGGAATGTTATTCAGCCTTAGGAAGGAAACAAGTTCGGCCCCTGCTACAGCAGGTGTGAACCTCGAGGACATTCTGCTCGGGGAAAGGCCGGGCACAGAAGGACGCTGTATGATTCCAGCTCTGGGGGGTTCCTACAGCAGTCCCACTGATGGAGATGGAGTAGGATGGTGTGTGGCAGGGGCTGGGCAAGGCAGCGGGGCGTTAGTGTTGACTGAGGACAGAGTTTCTGTTGGGGATGATAAAGTTTTGGGTAGAGGTACCTTTTGAATGTATCTGATGGCACTGAATTGTGCATTTATAGATGCTTCAAATGGTAAATACGGTCTTAATTTTAGCACAATAAAAAGTATATTTGATGATTTTTAAACAGAAGCATCTGGGAGGTTGTATCTAATGCACTTGGTCGTTGGTTCAGCGTGGCCCCTGCGGAGTCCCCTGTGTGGCACGCTAGGGACCATCCCTGGGCAGGTGGGCCCCACGGAGCCCGGTGCTGTCCCTGTGGGTGAGCGAGCACATCGTGGGGTCTTCTTCAGGCCCTCGGAGACCACAGATTGCAGAAACTGTCCCGGTCTTGGTTCTCGGTATAGGAAAAACACAGAAAATAAAATGTCTTGACTTTCCAAAGGCCATGGAAGAGCAAGGGAAGGTGACAGTCTAGGGTTTCGTCAGGACAGTTGTCATCACTTCCCTAAGGGCGCATGTTTGCCGCCCGCACTCTCACTTTGGTGCCTCGTTACATCCGTATGTTCCAAGCTCTGTGGAGAGTCTTATAGAAATGGAGAGAGTGGCAGTATCCTTTTATTGAAAAAAACCATGAAAGAAAAGATATTTAATGTTAGTTTGCTTGCTAATAGGCTAGGTCTTAGAGTTTAAAGAAGTAGTTAATTATCAAAGCTTTTCATTCCGTGACAGTGTCGATTTTTCTTCTAATTCAGGTTACCTTTGAAATTAACGTTGCAGATCCGTGAGATTTTCATCAGTGAATATTGTTTGAAGAATTCATTCTGTTGTAATTGAGATAAAATGTACCGGTTAAATTTTTTGTAATTTTACATTTTTGCTAGTTTTTGAAATGCACTGTAGAAGTTTTCCTCACGGTAGTGGGAACATATGAGGGAGATATGATTACATCAATCAATTATTTGAACAAAGATTGGGAATAGCTTACATATGACTTTGTAATAATCCCTATTTCCAAGGAAAAGTATGTGCACAATACTTAGTCTCTGTGTCATTTGTAGATAAATTGGTTGCCAGTTGGTCTCTGTTTTTATGGAAACAAAGCTTTTGTGAATAAGTATGGATTTTATGTATACCTTCTGCACATGTATAACAAATGTCTCAAACCAAATAACTTAGCAAAAATGATTTTTCTGTATTAAATTTTCATTAAAACTGTTCCAGTTCCTCCTGGCTTGATGTGATGGCTCCCTCACCTTTGGCTACGGTGAGCACAGCCCAGTACCCGGGGCCAGCCCCTGCAAGAGACAGACTTGGGTCGGCCCCTTCTCTTCTGCTGTGCTCCTGCGGTGGCTGGGGGTGGGGTGGGGGGATGGCTTGGGACCAGAAGAGTCAGGAGATCCAGAGACATGTGCTAACCGTCAGCAGTGTGCCCACCTACAGGTGTTCTGAGAAGACCCACGTGCAGGGCGACCGCAAGGCCCATGCTACTGAAACCTGGGTGGAGGGTGTCTCAGCATCCCCGTGGGCCCTGAGAGCTCACAGTCTGGCCAGGGACAGGGTTCCAATAGGGAAAGACCCACTTTGCAGATAAGAAAAAATCAGGCACCGGATTCTGTGTTGGTGACATGATGTTATTCAGGCCATGAGCATAGACAAGGAAGGGATCTCTCATCCAGAGGCCCTCGGGGGGACAGCGCTCCCCTGGACAGGCCCCGCAGCTTGCCTGGCAGGCTGGGGAGACCTGTCTCGGTGACATTTGAGATGCGCATCAGGGCAGTCCTTGAGTTGGCCAGTTAAAGGGAAAATTGGTGGTTTCGTGGTACTGAGAGCCCCCTAGATAGGATGTTCCCT